TCATTAATCCTACTTGGGATCATGGTGTTTTTGAATCTGTGGTTGATGCCTTTCACCTCCCTTGCTTCTAGAAAGTCTGCCGGCAGTGTCTCCCTGTGTAGCTCCTGCCTGTTCTCTCTCTCTCAGCCTGAAATTCCAATTACGTTTTTTTAGACCTCCTCTCGTATACACATTTCTCATGCTGTCTTCTGTGCTTTCCTTCTTTTCACCTTTCTCCTGCATCCTGGATGATTTCATTTGGGTTACCCTTTGTTATACCAACTTTGGTTATCTATACAGAATCTTCTATTAAATCTGTCTGCTGAGCTGTTGAGTTGGTCTTTGTTGTTTTTATTTCAAGACATTCTTTTTGGATTTCTTAAAATCAGTTATGTTATTCTGTGTAATTTCATGTTTCCTAGAGATATTTTCAAGCTGCTTTTGTTTTGAGCATAACTGTCCTTTCTTTTTTATGAGTAAATTGGTCTGAGCTTTGCCTTGTGTTTGGAGGTGTGACCAACTATTCACTTTACATTAAATCTGTGGCTGGGGATTATTTGGGTCACTTTGGTTTTTGGTTTTTTGGTCTGCAAACTTATGGGTGCGGCTTCTCAAGATCTTTCGTTTTAGTGCTTTGTTTTCCATGTCTCTGTTATTCTTCCTGGAGTAGCTGTTGTGTGGCTCTTCTCTAGTGCATGTTTGTGTGGTTTCTGTGAGAACGGCTGTGTCCTGGCTTGCAGGAGCCCCTGCAGATGGTGCCAGGTCTGCACCTCATCAGTGTCCCACAGGTAACCCTTTGCTGGGACTTATTTTTATGTCAGTTTCTTTGCTTGGGGATTCCTGCCCCCGATGGTATGTATACATTGTAAACAAGTGTCAGGGGCAGGCCTCTCCCCATCCCGCTCTGTTGGAGGCGGGTACGCTTCCTGGCCTCCTACCCACGGGAGCAGGTATGTCTGTCCTGTCCTGTGGCGCAGCCTTCCGGGGGACCTGGCTTTGTTCAGATGTTGCGTTCCTAACCACCCTCTTGGCAGAGCCTCCGATTCTGGGAGGAGGCGCTATTGTAACTCGTCCTTGTCTCCCCAGATTGTGATAGTTTTCAGGTCCCTCCTGTCTACATGTGGGGTGTTCCCTCTCTTAAGAGCCTTTAAAGTCACTTTTGTTATGTTTTATCCAGAAATTCTAGGTGTTGGTAGCAAGAAGGTTTTAAGATCATGCCTTTTATGTTTAAAACTGGATATTTCTACGTTACCTTTTCAAGAGGGAAGGAGAAACTTAATTTGAAAGAGGGTCCGTAATTGACTCTGACACTCCCGTTTTTGGACAGTTGTTCCCCTTGTTGCTGTCATGGATAGAGGAACGCTTGCACGGCCATTTTCACCAACACTTTGTCTCCTGGGTGCCACTGCGGTTCCGGGCATCTCAGACATGCGTGTAGAGAGCAGCAGGAGTCTCTGCGGGGCTGGGGGGCCGGGGTTGATGTGGTTGCAGAGGACAGGCAGGTGCCCAGAGGAACTAGAGAGAGGAGAGGCACAGCCGTGTGGGAGTCGAGCGCCATGTGGGACGGCAGGCAAGGGCTGCACCGTGTGGGAGTTTAATCTAGGGGCCGCGGACGCACTGAGGAGTTTAAGGGAGAGTGTGACAAGATTAGATTTGTTTTCTGAGAGCGTCTGCAGTCTCCAAGCCAATGATAGCACGGGAGGCCAGTCAGCTGTGCTCATGGGAATGGAAGGATGCCGGGACTGACCCTGATGTGGCCATGGAGTGGCTGTGAGGGGGAGGCAGGAACATGAGGACTGTGCGGGTTTGGGGTGCGGTTAACTGAGGTAGAGAACTTGGAAGAGCCCTGGGTTGGGCAGGAAAATTCAGTTCAGTTTTGGTCATTTTGAGTCTGAGGTAGACAAGTGTGTGGTCTGGGGGCCCCACAGAGAGGTCTGGCTGCACGAGGGGAAAGCTGGGAGGCCCCAGTAGCGGGTTCCAGGCGGAGCGAAGGGCTGGCCTTCAGGGGTGTGGAGGGGAGTGGATCATGGTGGGGAGGGGGGACTGTGGTGCCGTGCTGGTATACAGGCCTATGGTCTTTCCTCTCCCTTTGGGTTGTTGATGCTGAAAGCGTTCCCAGAGGTAGGAGTGTTCAGACAGAAACCTTTTCTGTGGCTCTTGACACTTGTTGTCAAAGTAGCTCTTAGGAAAAAAGCCACACCAACTTATTCTGTCTTTGACCGCTTTTGGTTAATTTGCTTCTCCGTGACCTTGGTGACATTGAGGATCAGTATCATCATCACCAGCTTTTGCTGACTTAGTGGCTGTAAAGTGATCTTTAATATGTACATCTTCAGGTTCGTGTGGTTCTGTTGGCTCTGCCCCAGCTGGGTGTTTCATGTACATTTTCTCTGCTGTAAGCTTCGCTTCCCTCCTCTGCCTGAGGGGCAATAGCCGGGAGGCCGCGCTGCTCGTCCGTGTCAGCACCCATGGCCTCCCTTTCTGGGGTTTCCAGCTTTACCCTAAGACACTTAAAACAGGTTGAATATTCTTTCATAGTTGTTATTTTTATTGAGATATAATTCACATAACATAAAATTCACCATTTTTAAATATGTACTTCAGTGGCTTTTAGTACATTCATTATGTTGTGCAACCATCACAGCTATCTAATTCCAAAACATGTTCATCACCCCAACAGGAACCCCGTCCCCGTTAGCAGTCACCCCCATTCCTCCCTCCCCCAGCCCCTCGCGACCTCCATTCTGCATTCTCTCCGTGGATGTGCCTTTTTCGGACGTTTCCTTTGATGGACCCGTAACCATACAGTGTGTGTCTGGCTTCTCTCACTGAGTACAGCATCTCGACGTTCTTCGTGTTGTCATGTGTGTCAGTACGTTGTTCCTTTTTATGGCTGAGTGATAGCCCGTTGTATGGACACACCACATTTTGCTGATCCGTTCACTCGTCGATGGACACTGGGGTTGCTTCCTCCTTTTGGCGATTGTGGCTGGTGCCACTGTGACGTTCATGGACAAGTCTCGTGTGGAGCTGTGTTGTTGGTTCTCTCTGGTGTCCTCTTCTTCAGCAGCGTGTTTTCTCCTGTGAATTCTCTGAGTCACGTGCTTTGCTTTCCTGCTCCAGGAATGTGGACGAGAATGTAAACGTGAAATTGCTGAACTGATAAGCGGACAACAAGAGGAGACTGGTGGACAGCAGCGGGCAACGGTGGAGCCTCAGCAGCCGGCAGAGACGCAGCTGCAGAGCCAGGTGACCCTGGGGCGCTCAGGCCCCAGTCCAGGGGCTCAGGGGCACAGCCAATTCCTGCGCACTCGCTCTGTCACTTACACCAGGACACAGTGGGTTTTGGGATCTGGGAGGGTTGCAGGTAGGAGAGATTTGTCACAAGTGGACGGCTGTATGCTGCAGGCTTGCTGTCTCTGCTTTGTTTTGTTTTCACGTCTGTGTGTGGGGCCGTTGAAAGCACACTTGGAGGGACACATGTGGACACCTGTGGCAGCGAGTCTGGCCAGGTGCCAGGCTGCATGGGGGACACTCGCTGCAGGCCGGCGTTTCCCTGTCAGCTGCTGAGTCCACTCTTTAAACACCAGCAGTGCTGTAGTGGAGAGGGATCCTGAGGGAGCAGAAGCCGCGGGAGTGGAGCCGCGTGTGAGGCCATCCTGGAGGTGCGTCCGGCTCCCCTGGGTGGCTGCTGCTCCCTGGGCCTCAGGGTCAGGGCCAACCCCTCGAAGCAAAGGGAGCGCTGGACACCTCTAGCTGTGGGACAGCCGGCTGGTGCCCCTGCTCCTCGCTGTGTCCTCTCCCCCCTCGGGAGGTCCCTGCTGGACTCCTGGGGACATGTGTTCTCTTCCTCTGTTTTCTGCCTGTTCCTCTCCTTTATTCATTTTTCTCTTCCTGCTTTTCTGTGGGTCCCTTCAGTCCCGTTCCAAACATGTTTTTCTGTTTTTTGTGTTAATTGGGAATCAGGTGTTGGACGCCTGGAACCCTAGCCTTCCTCCATTTCCCCTGAGGCAGTGGAAGGAGAAGCTGATCCCTCACATCTCAGGCACAGAAGCTCTCTTCTTTTCCCCTCTGTCTACGTTCGAGAGCAGTCAAGCGCAGAGCTTGCCTGTCTCTGGTTTGGAATGTGGGCTTCCTGTGGGTGCTGTTAGCTCAGTGGTCGCTGGTCACTGTTTGGCCTCAGTTACTCCCTTGTTGGCACCGACCTGCTGTCAGTATTCTGGTGTCATCCCACATTTCTTTATTTTTTTTTTTTAATTTATTTTTTTGCGTGGAAGATTGGCCCTGAGCTAACATCCGTTACCAATCCTCCTCTTTTTGCTGAGGAAGGTTGGCCCTGGGCTAAAATCCGTGCCCATCTTCCTCTACTTTATATGTGGGATGCCTGCCACAGCACAGCATGATGAGCAGTACGTAGGTCCGCACCTGGGATCTGAACCTGCAAACCCCAGGCTGCCGGAGTGGAGGGTGCGAACTTAACCACTATGCCACCAGGCTGGCCCTCATCCCATGTTTCTTAACGTGGGTTTTGCAGTATCTGGAAGACCTGCTCGCCTGTCCCCAGCCAGGACAGGCCTCCAGGCTGTGGACTCTGTCCAGAGGAAGGTGGGGAGCCGTCTGCATGGCCCTGGTCTGTGTGTGGCCCACGTCTTTGAGGAGGAATGAAGAGGCAGTGATTATGGCTCCTGCCCTCCAGGGAGCCTTGGTTTAGTTGGAGAAAGAGGGCACGTGGCTGGAGGGGCCTCCAGAGTGGGTCGAGTGGGCTGCTTTAGGTGGTCGGGGAGTTGCCGGGCTGTGCCGGGCACCTGAGGGCAGCGGAGGTGGACCATGGAGGGAGCTGAGGTGCCGTCCCTTGAGCGTGTGGCTTGTGAGGAGCAAGCAGGAACAGCAGGGAGAGGGTGCCGCGACAGCGTCTCAGCAGGAACAGTGTCTGTAAAGAAGTAAACCGCGGCCCCTGAAAGACAGGGCCACACTGGGTCGTACCCTCCCCACGCCCCTCCATAAACGCCTCTCTCCCCCAGCCGGTCCCCTCCCTGGAGCTGGAGGCGCTGCGCCTGAGCCTGAGCCACATGCACACGGCGCAGCTGGAACTGACGCAGGCCAACCTCCAGAAGGAGAAGGAGACGGCGCTGACGGAGCTGCGGGAGATGCTCAACGGCCGGCATGCGCAGGAGCTGGCCCTGCTGCAGAGCAGGCAGCAGCTGGAGCTGCAGCTTGTCAGGGAGCAGCACGCCCGCGAGCTGGAGGAGGTGGCGCTGCGCTGCAGCCAGGAGACAGGTGTGCGCGGGCGGGGTGGGCGTGGGCTTCCACGGGCCTGTCTGAAGCTCAAGTCCCTGCCCCTGGTCTCGGGAAGCCAGTGGTCCATCCGGGGCGCCTCCCGGGGAAGGCGTTCACATACAGGTCTCTGTGCCCCCAGGAAGTGAGCCCCCAGGAAGTGTGGGCGTGGCAGTGCTCTGGGTGGTTGTCTTCTCCGGGTGGTGTGGGGTGTGTCCTGCGCTGCTGTCCCCTTGTCTTCCGTCTGGTTTTCCAATGGGCTTGTCTTAATTTTTGAAACGATGTCATTGGAGGCAATTTGCTCACGTGCTGGGAGTTTCTGTGTCCGCATCTCTGACGGAACTCTGACTGGGACCGAGTTTTGTCCAGCCCGACCCAGACGCCCTGGGACGCAGACCCCCCGCCCCGCAGGCTCCTCCTGGTGGGTGCCCAGGTGCCTCTTCATCTGGCCTAGACTGAGCTCTTTGTGTCTAACATGCACTTTTACCTTTTCACTTTAATGTTTTTTGGTACATTTTTTGTTAATGTAGTCACCAGTTTTTGTAAACATCTGTTTTTTACGTAATCGCTCTATTTCCTGTAGTTCACATACCACACAACTCACCCATTTACAGTGTACACTTCAGTGGCTTTTAGCCTGTTCACAGAGTTGTGCAAACTGCCACAATCTGAGTTCAGAGCATTCGTCACTCAGAAGGAAACCCTGTGCTTTCAGCAGTCCCTCCGTTTCCCGCTGGCGAGAGTGCCTGCTGTCTGCCTGCTTGGTAGGTTTTCATTTGAAAAATAAAAGACCGTGCCCGGCTATGGTGTGTTGGGAAGTCTTCCTCTCCTGGCCCCCACCCCGAGAGCGGGCCAATCTTCTCAGGTTCTTGTGCTGCTGTCCTGTGTTTCTTCACATGGATGCAAGCAAACGCAAACACGTAGTTTTACGTCCCCCTTGTTTTGTTTATTTTTTTTTTGGAAAGGAAGATTAGCCCCGAGCTAACATCCAATGCCAGTCCTCCTCTTTTTGCTGAGGAAGATTGGCCCTGGGCTAACATCCGTGCCCATCTTCCTTTACTTTATATGTAGGCCACTGCCACAGCATGGCTTGATAAGCAGTGCGCAGGTCCATGCCCGATCTGAACCTACGAACCCCAGACCACCAAAGGAGAACGTGTGAACTTAACCACTACATCACCAGGCTGGCCCCTGTTTATTTTTTAAAATACAGAACATACTTTGCCTTAGGCCCCTTCCTGTGCTGTTTTGTCCTTGCGCACCCCTGGGAACGGGTCCATGGAGAGGCCCACGCCTGCCCTCTGCTCCATGAGGCTCTGCTGTGGGCTGGGCCCCTATGGATAGGGCTGGTGTCTGGCCCTTTGCCTGAATTCTGGACTTGCTCAGGCCACCCTCACGTGCCTGTGTGGTGTCGCCTGGTACCCTCTCCCCAGCTCCACCTCACTCTTTCCTGAAGCCCCTGCCATCTCTGCCGGGCGCCCAGATCTCCAGGTGTGCACCTGGCTCTCAGCCCTTGCCCGGCCATACCCACTGGTCCAGCGTCATCTCCCTCCTCCTCCCCTCAGCACCTGGTCTCTTTTCTTGTGCTTCTTCCCTCTTGGGTTTGGGAGCGTTGTGTCCTAGAACGTCTCTACCTGTCTTGATTTACCTGTCTTCTAGCACCTAGCCTGGCATCTGGCATGGAGGGAGCCTGGGTGCTTGGGGGTCCCCGTGTGGAGCAGACAGGCTGAGGACCAGAAGGATGACGTGGGTTTAGGGTGCTCAGTGACCTGTGCAGCCCCAGAGCCAGCCTTGCTGCGCTCATCCTGAATTGTCACACTGGCTGGAAATCTCCCTGTCCTTGGTTTGGGCACGAATATAATTTGTTGATTAGACCAGACACCATCACGTTCTTGTTCCCTCACAGACATGTCCTGTTGTCCCATTCACGTTGGCGAGTGTTTTGTGGAGCAGCCAGTGGGCACTGGGAGCCGTCTCATCTCCCGGGCAATCAGGTTGTGGAAAAGTCTGAGATCAGTGATCCAAGCTACTTTTTGTTTTTCTTGCAGCTGAGCTGAAGGAGAAGTTGCAAATAGAAGTGGAGAAAAATGTCCAGATGATGGAGGTACATATGATTGGAAACTTATTATTCTGTGTGTGCAGTATTCTCTTTTTCTCCCCATCCCTCCAACTTGTCCCTTGCCCCGGAACTCCCCACAGAAAAGCCCCTCACTTGACTCAAACAAGATCCAATCAAAGCTTTAATTGAATGCGCTGGTAGAAAGTGTATTGTGTTTTCCTTTGGAGGTAAAACATGGTTTTAGTTGTACAATTTGAATTTGTCAGAACGGCTTGTTTTGGGGTTTCATGTTGACTTGTGTAACATGAGGCTGCATCCCGAGTCTGGTTTCTGAGTGGCCCCTGGGGCCTGGCCCTCGCTGTGCTCTGGACACAGACTCTGGTCCTCACAGATAGACGTGCCAGCACAGGGCGGCGCTGACTGTGGTGATGAAGTGAGATGCGTGGGGCACAGATGCTGGGACGCCTCAGGGAGCCACAGGGGGAAGAGGTGTGGGGAGTAGGGTGCAGGGCATGCCCGTGGGTGGAGCAGCCAGGCCGGGAGTGTCCACACTGGTGTGGCCGATGCTGGGCGATGCCTGCGCGAGGGCCACTGTTGGCTCCGGTGGCTGTGCTGACCCCTCTGGCTTGACCTGTAATTGTCCTGCTGCTGTCACCCCACACCCCCTTTTTGGGGGAAAGAGTTGTATTTTAGGATGTAACAGAACGAGCTCTTTTCTAAGGAAATCTGTCACTGGAACTTTTGATCCTCGTGAGCAGTGCCTTTCTCAAGGTTAGGTTTGTAGAAGGGCTGTTAGTGCAGGTGATGGCAGAGGAAGTGGGTGACATCAGGGGACATGGGTGGTGAGGGCGGGGGACCTGGGTGGTGTTGGGGGGCATGTATGACGTCAGGGCATGTGAGCATTTATGTCCTGGCCGCTCTGGTTGGTCAGTTGGTAGAGGATGGCCGTCAGTCCTGGGTTGGGGGCTTGTGCCCCAGCCCCCTGCCCCTCTGAGCTGGACAGTGGGGACTTGTTTCTTAGGGCATTTGGGACAGAGCCCGGCTCCCGGCAGAGGTCGGCGACATCACTGTAGACGCCCAGGTCTTGTGTGGGGGACGGAGGCGTGAGTCATCGAGAGTGACCGCAAGCCTAGGCTTTGTGTTCAGAGACCGGTTCTGTGCTGGGCAGGCGGTCCTTCTTCTCTTTTCCTTGGCTGTTGGCCTTGTGGGTGCTGCCGTCCTGTCCCTTTTAGCGGTAGTGGACAGACCGACTGGACGTCCGGAGCCAGTTTCCTGTAGTGCCAGTCTGGTCTGGGTCGGGGTGACTGCTCACTCCAGGTTTTTGAATGTGCAATTAAAATTTTTTTAACCACAGATAATCAACTATTGGCCATAATCTCCTTTTTCCTTATTTAAATCAGACCCTGAAGCAAGACTGGGAATCTGAGAGAGATTTATGCTTAGAAAACCTATGCAAAGAATTATCTGGAAAGCATCAGTTGGAATTGGAGAATTTACAAAACCAGTTTAAGAAAGAATTGGCGGAACAGAAAGCTGAGTTGGAGAAGATGTTTCAGGCCAAAAATGAGGCTGAATGTGAGTATCTAATTAAAATGAGCACGTTTTTAAGGGGGACTAAGTTTTCCTATGTAATACTAGAATAAATATCATGTGCTCTGTCAGATTCATGATTGAACACTGATCCCCTATGTGTTCAAACCCCAGATAACTGAGTGCATGTGACACCCATGGGGATGGAGGTGTGGGGCTGGCTTCCCGGGGCACAGTCAGCCTTGGGGCCTCCCCCCGTTGATCACAGGTTTCTCAAGGTCGCTGAATCTTCCTGAAACCTTTGATTTTTGCATGCTCCATTATTAAATTGCTACCAAAAGAGTAATATTGTGTCTGTTCACTTTTTATCCGGGTTGCCTGTTACACGGCGATGCCCACTGCTCAGGAGGGCTTGCCTGCGTCTCCCCCCTCCTCCAGGGGAGCAGGGGTGCTGAGAACGGGGTCTGGAAGGAGCCCGGGGGACCCGCTGTGTGCAGGGCGGTGCTCTTCGGTGCTGTCGTGACTGACTGCAGCGTGCTGGTTAGCGTCATGTTGAGAAGGGAGACCGTGGCGTATGCGCTGAGTGAGGTCTTTGCTGCTCTCCAGCTTCCCTTAAGACTCTGGAGGCTCAACATGAAGCAGCCTTGAGAAGGCTACACGAGGACCTGCGGTCTGAGCGCTGCCAGTACTTAGAAGACTTGGAACTGAAATTCAAAGAAAAGGAAAAAGAAAAACAGCTAGAGGTAGGCAAGAGCTTATTTATTTTAATTACTTGGTGGAGGAGGAGAGTCTTAGAAGATTGTGGATTGGGCTCATTTCACATTCTTTTGTTCGCAAGAACTTAAGTACTAAAGCTAAAGAGGCTTGCCATATTTGGCAGAGCTGGTAGATGAAGAAGTGGCTATGTCGTGTCTGTGCAGTTGATTTCACAGTTAGGCTCAGTCTGAGGCACAGAGAGTTGGTCTTCTTTACCAGAGCCCCTGAGATGGTTAGAGACCCCAGACACTGGGGCATTAGGCCACAATCTCTGTAATTCAACAAACAAGAAGTTCCTTTGAAAAGTTAACCAGAAACATTTCTACTGCCTGTGTGTTCAAAACTGTTTTCCAATGAAACACTACATGTCAAAATGTAGGAGGTGTGGCCGGATCTTTCTCAGAGAGCTGAATGCTTCTATCACCAAACCCAAGAACCAAGCAATGCCCCAAGCAGAGGTTCAAGAAATGACAAAGGAAGTCAGCAGGGCACGGAGTTAGTCGTGGCCTGTGCACGGGTTTACAGAGGAGGGGAGGAAAGTCGTTGGAGCCCAGGAGGAGCTTGTGTCTCAGGCCCTGCAGCTCTCGCTCCTGCTCCCACCCCCTCTCCTCCCAACGGAGGCAGGACTGGCCAAGTGTGAGAGTAGGACTGGCCAAGTGTGAGAGTAGGGGTTCCTAGTGGGGCAGAGCTAGGGCAAGGCTGGTCACCGAGCACTGGGCTCGCTCTGCTCGCCACGATATGAGCCAGTTAACGACAATGAGTTAGGGATCGAGAAAGGAAGCTTGAATTCGATTAGCTGACACAGTTGGGAAGATGGCAGACTAATGTCTCAAAAGAACTACCTTCAAGGATTACAGAATCTTGAGGCAGTTATATAGGGAAAATGGGTAATAAGGAGGGGGTCCAGGGATGTTGGTCTATGACGGGCTCCAGGCATCACATTGTTCCATTCTTCTGTCAGCTGTGATGGATACTTTGTAGATACGTTTCTAGCCTGTGGTCAGCCTGTTCCTGGAGGGAAACTCATATAACAAAGCTTTAATTTATCAAGCTATTGGGGAGTACATACGTAAGTAGAGGCCATAGATCAGGAGAGCATGTGACTTGTTTGGAGTACGTGCAGAGCAGCGAGTAGTCACACACAGGAGGGGCTGGGGCCACTTAGCGTAACAAGATGGCCTCACTTATGATCACTTACAAGGCTGGGGCACACATCATCTCCCTGCTGGCTCTCCCTTACTGATGGGAAAGAGATGACAGAAGGGCACCTTCTTCCTGTGCCCTGGATGAGAAAAGGCTGCAGGCACCAGACCAACCTCAGGGCCAGCACTGCCCATGCTGCAGCCGGAGCTCCCATGTTCCCTCAGACAGGACTAGCCCTTTGGCCTTCGGCCCTGCGCTCGTGGCTCCCAGCTTAGTGACCAGCCTGACCCTGAGCCCCCGTGAAGGCAGGTGGGAGCTGCTCTCAGCTCTGTTGGTGCAGGGTGGGCTGGCACGCAGCACGTGCTCGTTGTGCTAGCTCCATTCACCCCTGAAAGAAACCGCTACCCAAGAGGTTGACCAAGAAATGCGGAGAAAACCCAAACATACCACACGAGGGATGAGGGCAGCTGTGACCACATGAGGAGGAAGTGCCCCTGAGGTCAGTGACGTAATCTTGGGGTGGGACGGAACTTGTGGCCTCCTGGGAGACTGAGGGGTGCTGGTCGGTGCTGACTGACGGCCTGGGAGGGAGCACAGTCTGCCCACCTCGGGGGGCCCGGGGCCTGCTCCGAGCCTCTCCCACGGACTCTGCTGGGCAAGTTAGAAGGACGTGTGTTTAGGACAACAGAGAAAGTTCCTGCCCTTGCTCATTGAGAAAAAAATGGATCTATGGAGGGAACAGGGCCAGGGGCTGAGCAGGTAGTCCGTAAGAGAAGAAACGTGGGTCACCGAGAGGACCGTGGTCGGGGAGCGGGTAGTCCGTAGAGAAGAAATGCAGGTCACCAAGAGGACCACGGTTGGGGAGCGGGCAGTCTGTGAGAGAAGAAACGCGGGTCACCGAGAGGACCATGGTCGGGTAAGCGCACGTCTGACAACCGTGTGGCTGCTGCTGCTGGTTTTCTCAAGGCCGTGGGTTTTGAATTGGAGCTTTTACTCCCATTTCATGCCCATCAGATGCTGGGCACAGACGGCATGTCAGTGTGAGTCAGTGTCTCACGTTGCTGCCTTCCTTTTCCAGTTAGAGACTCTTCAAGCGTCGTATGAAGAGCTGAAGGCTCAGTCGCAGGAAGATATCAGGCGCCTGTGGTCCCAGCTTGAGTCTGTGAGAACCAACACACGGGAGCCGGGTGGTAAGGAATTGCCTGTTGAAAATTCAGATCCTCAGAAGCTAAAGCTGTGTGTTTTTAATTGTTGAAACCCCAAACTAGAATTTAACAATTGTAGCAAGCAGAAAAAAGTGATTTTGTAAACTTCCTTGAAGACTGAGTTGTGTAGTTTTAAGGTGGAAATTTGTTTGTTGGAGAGCCTGGGTTTCACCATTAAGCAAGTTACTGAGTAACCACAGGTCATGCATCTTTTCTCATGTTACCATGAGGCACTGTTCAAGGGTGAGGTTAATGAAGCTAACCAGTGGTGCTTGCTTTGACCCAGAAGCTGTGCTTGAGTGCTGTAGAAACGCGGTTCTTAGCCCGCATTTGGGGTCGCAGGTGTGCCTTGCACACACCGCCTTGTGGACCCCATGAGCTCACCAGGGATGAGTGTTGTCAGGCTTCTGTGGTCCCGAGCTCTGGTTTTGGAGGGTGATGCCCACGTCCATGCCCCAGCAAGTGTGGCCCGTTTGACTGAGGGAAGGTCATCTGGGCCCCCCTTATAAGACCCTGTGTCAGAGCCATCGTGCTCGAGGGCGGTGCCTTCAGCAGGGGGAGGTCAGGAGACACGGGGAGTAAAACAGACAGATGTGAGCTTTTCTGCTGCTAATCTCCAGACAGAGTCTTTTAAAGCCAGTAATTGCCCTTGCTTGGTAAATCTTATTTGGCACAAAGAACAGAGTTATGAGAAAAGACCAGAAGTAATGCCTGTCTGCTGCATGTGGTGGTGAATATTGGTGAACACGGCCTCGTGTCCGCCTCCCTGCCCCGCACCGTCAGCGCACTGCCTGGTCTTTCTCTGGAGTCTGTCTGATGCTGTTGGAGGCTGCAGGTGTTGCTGGTGGACTTACCTGTAGGGGGCTGTCGTGCTTTCACATGTGTGTTTCAGCTCTCGCGTGTTCCGCTGGGAATCTTCTCCCTTGCATGAGGACCCTTATGGGAACTTTGAGTTGAAACATCTGGGATAATGACCAGTTTACATCCACATTATTTGAAAGCTAATTAATTATCAATTATCATAGACCAGCTGGCAGCATTCTCTTGATCAAAATAGCGATGGTGACAAGTTCTCTTAGAATCTGTGTTACTGTTTTGTTATGTGTACAAAATGTCACAGACTTACAGTTTAAGAGCACACACGTTTACGGCTTGCAGATATGTAGGTCAGAAGTCTGGGATGGCACGCCTGCATCTTCTCCGCAGGGTCTCCCACAGCCAGATCCAGGGTCTTGGGCTGCGCCTTGACCTGGCTCACTCAGGTGATGGCAGAATCAGTCCCTGTGGTTGTAGGACTGAGGTCCCGTTTCCTTGCTGTCAGCAGGGGCTGCTCTTGGCTCCTAGAGGTGCCACGTTCCTTGCATGCAGCCCCTCCATCTTCAGAGTCCCCAGCGGCACGTGGAGTGCTGCTCACGCTTCCCATCTCTCTGACTTCTTCTACCACTAGCCTGAAAAAGCTTTCTGCTTCCAGGGGGCTTGTGGGATTTGCTGAGGCCGTCTGGGTCGTCTCCCTGTGTAAGGCCTCGTGTGCCACATAGCATGAGCCACGTGCAGTGCCCACGTCACATCACAGGTTCTGGGATTGGGGCCCTTTTTAGAATTCTGCCCTCTACAGCACACTACAGATATATCCGTAAATATCTTAAGTCTTAAATATCTCATTTTTTCTGAGTGCTTCATTTTAAGATGATTGTGTAATTTCATCCTATAAAAGAGTTAAATGAGCAGCCCCTGGCTCGAGCATCTCACCTGAAAGAATTAGAACACCTAAAGCGAGCCGTTGAGGAGCAGCAGCAGCGAGAGAGAACGGAGCATGAATCCGAACTAGAACAATTGAGAATTTATTTTGAAAAGAAATTAAGGAATGCTGAAAAAAATTACCAAGAAGACCTGACTTTATTACAGCAACGGCTGCAGAAGGTGAAGGAAGACTCTCTTCTGGAGTCTGCGGAAATCAGGTAAATAAAGCAATTTTCATCTCAAATATGTTTTTGAAATATGGGAACCTTGAGCTGAACTGAAATCTTGCGCTGTTTGTGATTTCGTTCCAGTGGAGACTATAATAGCCTTGTATTTTGGAAACATTTTATGTTTGGGCCTTGAAACATTAGACGTTAGAGCTAGGAGCTGAATCTGACCCGCAGGACAGGTTCGGACGACGACCTGCAGCATGGTGGTTGGGCAGGCTGTCGGGATCCCGCGTCGCCCACCACATCCCTGCTGCTGCCACACGCGGCTGAGTTGAGTTCGGAACTGGCTCCCGTCGCTGCCACAGATGCAGCTCACTCAATTGTGGTCATCCTGTCCCCAACACAGGAGTAGGATTGCCTTGGAAGGAGTAGGAAGGGCTTTCTCCTTTCATGCAGTCGGATCCCAGGGACAGAGCGGAGTTCAAATGGAAAAGTGCTGTATGTGGGGCCGGCCCGGTGGCACAAGCAGTTAAGTGCACGCACTCTGCTGCCACAGCCCGGGGTTCACTGGTTCGGATCCCGGGTGCGCACCGACGCACTGCTTGGCAGGCCATGCTGTGGCGGCATCCCATATAAAGTGGAGAAAGATGGGCATGGATGTTAGCCCAGGGCCAGTCTTCCTCAAAAAAAAAAAAAAAAAAAGAGGACAATGGGCAGATGTTAGCACAGGGCTGATCTTCTCACACACAAAAAAAAGTGCTGTATGTCAAGTTTTTATAAAATGTTTTCTCTTTTAGTTCATCCAGTGCATTTTTAGAAGAGCCATCTGAAAAAGACAGAAGAGACCAACTTGATCAACTCGGCCTTCAACTGGAACAACATGAGGTGAAGGCCAGTTTTTTTCTGATTGAGATGTAATTGACATATAACATCAGTTTCAGGTGTACAACGTAGAGATTCAGTATATTTATCTGTTGTGAAATGATCACCACAGAAAGTCTAGTTAACATCCATCAACACACTAGTTACCAATTTTTTTCTTGTGATGAGAACTTTTAAGACCTACTCTCTTAGCAACTTTTAAATATACAGTACAGTGTTATTAGCTGTAGTCACCATGCTGTACCTTACATCCCCAGGACTTACTTATAACTGAAAGTTTGTATTTTTTGACCCCCTTTACCCATTTTGCCCCCCCCGCCCCCGCCTTTGGAACCACCAATCTGTTCTCTGTATCTGTGACTTTAGGTTATTTTTAGATTCCACATATAAGTGAGATCATACAGTATTTGTCTTTTCTTTATCTGACTTATTTCACTTAGCATAATGCCCTCAAGGTCCATTCATGTTGTTGCAAATGGCAAGATTTCCTTTTTTATGGCTGAATAATATTCCTTGGTATATATTTAACACACATTCTTTATCCATTCATCCATTGGTGGTCACTTAGGTTGATTCCATATCTTGGTTATTGTAAATAATACTGCAGTGAACATAGGGGTGTAGATATCTTTTCGATTTAGTGTTTTGTTTTCTTCAAATAAATACCAAGAAGTGGAATTGCTGGATCATATGGTAATTCTATTTTTAATTTTTTGAGGAACCTCTATGCTGTTTTCCATAGTGGCTGCAACACTTTACATTCCCACCAGCAGTATACAGGGGTCCCTTTTCTCCACATCCTTGCCACACACTTGTTAGTCTTGTCTTTCTGATAATAGCCATTCTGCCAGGTGTGAGGTGATATTTCAGTGTGGTTTTGAGTTGCATTTCCCTGATGATTAGTGATATCACGCCTCTTTTTCATGTACCTGTTGGCCATCTGTATGTCTTCTTTGGAGAAATGTTGATTCAGATCCTCTGCCCCTTTTTTAATTGGATTGTTTTTTGCTGTTGAGTTGGATGAGCAATTTATTTTGTCATTGAGAAAGATTGTGTTTTATTAATCTTTAATTGAGAAATGGACTGTCTTTCATGTTACAAAATCTGAATTTCCATCCTCACAAATGCCTTCTGTGACACACATCACGTAAAGGAATGCTTGCTTTTGTGTTTTGTGAATGAGTGTGTCTGGCGACTGAACACACTGCATTGTGGTCTGTTTACAACAACAAACGTGGTTGGGTTGAAGGGCATAAATCCGAGACGGCTTTCTACGACAGCCTGCTGTCCTTCTTTGGGCCTGCCCAGGCTCCTGTCACACCTGCTGCCGTGAGCGGGGCTTCCTCCTTCTCCTTGAGCTCCTTGAACTGCCTGTTGTCCCACGTTCCGAGAATTGGCAGAGTGTAATTGTGCATTTTTTGCTTTGAGTTGCATGTTAAGCATCTTTTCCTTGGCCTTTACGTTCTTCCTTGGATTGCCTCCGTGCGTTTGTTTCTGTCATTTTGAACCTTATAGCACTGTCCAGAGAGAATTTTCTGTGACGATGGGAATGTTCTGTATCTGTGCTGCCGGTGTGGTGCCACCAACACACGTGGCTGGTGTGACTGAGGAACCGAGGTTTCCTTTTGTTTGCTGGTGGTTACTTCATGCGTCTGAGCCCCTGGTCTCCTGGCCACTGTCCCGGGTGAGCAGCACTCACACGTGGTGGAGTGGCCTTGCCCCTATGCGGTGTGCTCTGCCCTGGGTGAGCACCGGCTTTAGTCTGAATGTCTGTTGTTCTCGGTCGTTTAGCTTGTGCCATAACAAATAGCACAGACGGCAGCTTAGACAACAGACGTTTGTCATCTCAGAGCTGGAGGCTGGGGCTCTGAGCTCAAGGTGCCAGCAGGGCTGGTTTCTCCTGAGGCCTCTCTGCTTGGCTTGCAGGCAGCCGCCCTCTTTCTGCCTCTTCCCATGCTCATCCCCCTGTGCATGTGCACCCCTGGTGTCTCTGTCTGCAAATGCAGTCACGTTCTGAGGTGCTGGGGGTTAGGACTTCAGCATAGGAATTTTGGGGGACACCCCACTTGCTTCTTCCTGTCACAGATTGCTTCCAGTTTTGCATGTTAACGTCCTTTTGTATAAATATCTGCGTACATGTGCTGATTTCCTAGGGGCAGGAGTGTGGTGGACGGCACTGCCCTTCCTTTCACTTCTCCCCCCGCCACCTTCCCAGTGGGCGTGGTGCCGGGTGCTGCAGCGAAGCCTCCTGGTCCTCATGGGTCCGTCTCTGTGTCCACTGCTCTCTACTGCCCTGTAGTGTCCTGCCCTGCCCTCTGGGTCTCCTGCTCACTGCTGTCCTGGGATGGCCCTGCTCTCCCGTTCCCCTGGTCCTTCCCCTCTGGCCGGCCCCACGCCCTGTGCTACCGGGGGAGCAGGTGTGCATCAGTCTGCGTTTACTCCCTTTCTTTGCTGCACCTGTTCCCTTAGCAGAGTGTAAAAGGGCGTGTGGGGGGCACAACCTGGGCCTCGCACGTCTGAGAGCTTGTTTCGTTCTCACGTGTGTTTGACGGGATGTTGCGTTTGGAAGGTGGTTCTCCGTCGTCTCTCCCCGTGATTTTCCATTCCTGTGCTGCTTGTGCTTCCAGCAGCTCTCGGGGCCCCTCTTTGTTCTCTGGAGTTCTGAGACGGCTGTTTGTCTGTCTGTGTGTGTCCGTTTCTCGTGCTAGAAACAAGGAGGTGCCGTGAATCTGAGACTCCTCCTTCGCTTCTGGGAAGTCTCGTGCTATTCTATTTATTTTGATAACTTTTCCTCCATGTTCTTTGAAACTCCTGTGAGCTTCATGCTTGACCTCAAGAATGAAGCCACCAGTTTTCTTAAATTTTCATTTCTCATCTTATGTTGCTTTTGGTTCTACTTTGTGAGTAGGAGATGTTTCTATCCTTACTCTTCTAATTCTTCAGTTGAATTTCTTATTTCCATTATCATTTTTAATTTCTAGGGGCTTTGCTTTCTTCATCTGTGTTCTTTTATACGTCCTCCTGTTCAGCGTCGTAGTTGGAATGTTTTGCTCACCCCTCTGAAGACAACAATTAGTGTAAAAGGTTTCTTGTGCCTCCTGTGTGTCCCTGCTGTCCATCTGTTTGTCTGTGTCAGTCTCTGTGTTGTGTTGGATGTAGGCGTTCCCTGTGTCGGTGACCCATGGCCATTCCTTCACGGGAGGTATGAGGCACCATCAGGTCTTGGGGTGCCCTCTGACCAATGTCAGAGCTCTACTTTGGGGGGCTGCATGTTGGGCTCCCCTCCCGGGGCCATTTGGTCTTCCTCAGCCTCCTGCTGGGGTACCTGTGGAGAGGGACCCCTGAGGAGAGGGGCCCGGGGGCTGTGCTACATCCCACCTTAGTCAGCCAGGTCCTCACCACTTCCTGCACGCCCAGTCTCCCTGGTCCACAGTCCCTGGGGGTGGGCTGCAGTCGCCCCCATCGCCCCTGCTCCTGCCTCCCGGCCTCCTGGGCATCTGGGCAGCTCACATGTGGCTCTTCTCCTTCTCTTCTGTAAGCCAGGAAAGTTCAGCATCCAGTGATTTCTGTCTTCCAAGTTGGTCAACTTTGATTCGTTTCTTCCCAAAGGTTTATAAACTAAATTGTTTCCTCTTGAGCCAGCCCTGATGACCTAGTGGTTAAAGTTTGGTGCTCACTGCTCCAGCAGCCCTGGTTCGTTTTCCGGGTGCGGAACCACAGCTCTTGTCTCTTGGTGGCCATACTGTGGCAGTGGCTCACATAGAAGAACTAGAAGGACTCACAACTAGAATAAACAGCCATGCACTGAGGCTTTGGGGAGGGCAAAAAAAAGATTGGCAACAGATGTTAGCTCAGGGCAGATCTTTAAAAAAAAAAAATTTTTTTTCCTCTCATTTTAGTCATATTTCAGGAAGGGGGGAAAATAAAGTGATGGAGTGTGTGTCTGTTTAACCAAAAATCCAGTGTGTATGTATGCAGTGTGTGTGCGTGCAGTGTGTGCGCGTGCGTGTGCGTATTTACAGTTTTGACCTGCCGGTGGCTTGTTCCCCCTGAGGGAGCCTGGCTGAACGTCCCAACATGGTGTGGGAGCCCCTGCTTACCCCCCGCCCCGCTGGACGTGGCCACAGCTTGTGAGGTCCTCACCTGATCGCTGTCTCATTTCAGCTTGCGCTGCCTTAGTTAAGATGGAGGTTGACTCGGCACTTACTCATTGACTGTTCCGTCTGTTTTATGCTTTGGCTTCTGCACCTTTGCTGTTGTATGTGCCCTTTTCTCTGGTTCAAGTCCCCACTCTGCTCATGTTTGGACTTAGCTGTGCATATTTTCACACTTGCTGCTGGGCCCACGTCTGCAGTGGGAGTCCTTCCCCTTGCCCTCGGCTCTTTGTCCCCATTCTCAGAGCGTCACAGTATTTTCCTGTGTTTTCGTCTGGTTCTTTTAAAGTCTTTAATTTTAGTTTTCATTCATCTGGAACTTAGCTGTTGTCTGGCGGGAGGTGTCGGCTCTAAGTTTATTTCCTTTTCCTTTCTTTTGTTTTTTTTTTGGTGAGGGAGATCAGCCCTGAGCTAACATCCATGCCAATCCTCCTCTTTTTGCTGAGGAAGACTGGCCCTGGGCTAACATCTGTGCTCATCTTCCTCCACTTTATATGGGACGCCGCCACAGCATGGCCTGGTAAGCGGTGCATCGGTGCGTGCCCGGGATCTGAACCCGGGCCGCCAGCAGCGGAGCATGTGCACTTAACCGCTATGCCACGGGGCCGGCCCCTGTTTTCTTTTTCTAAAACGTGAGTCGCTCTTTCAGGCCTGACTCGTTGAATTTTTTCTTCCAGTTTGAAACATGACCTTTTTGTGTACTTAGTTGTCACAGGGACATGAGTCTGTTTCTGGACTCAATTCTTCTCATCTGTCAAGTTTTTTATTCCTGTAACAATATAAGAATTTAAGTTATGACTTAAAAGATAATTTGAGCTCATTGGGAGCTTGAAGTTTAGGTTAATGTGACTTTTCTGTGAGTTTTCAGGAAAATGGATTTACTGGTTGCATTTTAAAGGAAACAGGAAATGTTGAAGCTTGCACTGAGCACTCCATCCCTCCTTCCTCCCCCCTTCCTCCTTCCTCTCCCCTCCCTCCCTCCCACTTTCCTCCCTCCCTCCTTCCCTCCTTCTTCCCTCCCTCTTTGCTTCCTCCCTGCCTCCCTCCTTCCCCTTCCCTCCCTGCCTCTTTCCTCCTCCCTCCTTCTTCCTTCCTTCCTTCCTTCTTTCTCTCCTCCCTTCTTTCCTTTCTCCTTCCTTCCTCCCTCCCTTCCCACCTCCCGCATGAGGATGCTGGGCAGGCCCTGTTATCAGGGCTGGTTGCAGCAGCCATCAGAGACCCTGCCCTGGGGGAGCTCCTTCCTCATGGGGGTGGGCCCCAGGTCATGAGCAGGCCCAGCATTAGCTCTGGAAGGGGAAGTACAGGGGAGGGTGATGCGGAGGAGGGAGTGAGGGGGCTCAGGAGTGAGCTGAGTGGAGAGACCTGGGAGCCCCCACAGGGGAGCAGGGTGCCTCTGGCTGAGGCCCTGGCCTGTGTAGCTGGTCACAGAGGCCATGTGGCCTGTGAAGGACAAAAGGGAGTAAGCCAGAGCCTGACCCTAGGAAAGGGAGGGCGAGGGACGAGGGTCCATTGGGCAGGGTCTGCTTGCAGCTCAGCTCCAGAAAAGTTCTGGTCAGGCTCCTGGGAACAGCCTGCCTGGCGTTCCTGTGTCCAGTGCTCAGTGTTGGCCACGGCGAGTGTAGCGAGGGTGTGAGGAGGATTCATCGACTCCGTGGCCTGTGAGCTGCAGTAGAGGGTGCCCTCCTTCTCTGGGCTGCTGGCAGCATTTCCATGAGGTAGTCCTTCTGGAGGTGAGGTGTTGGGGCAGGGAGAGACAGCGTGAACTGCGCGGCCTAGTGAGGGTTACCTGGTTGGCAGGGAGTAAGTAACAAGGCACGGAGGCTGTTAACACGTTTCCTCTGTGTGATTTCCCCACAGGAGAGCCTGTGTCTGGACACACCATTAGAAGAAGACCACCGGGGCCGAGTCACAGCAGTGAAGTCCTCTCCAGAAGTCCAGCAGGAGGCGGAACTCACAGGGGCCCGGGTGTTGGAAAGGGAGCAGCATGCAGGGCTCTCGGAAGAGTCTGGCCAAGGTGTGTGCCCTGTGGTGCTGCCCTCGTTGGCAGGCGTCTGGCCTGCGGCAACGTTTGGTGGGAATGTCGGGCACCTCGGCCATGATTGACTCCACGTGAGTGGTGATGTGGGTACGCTGGCCCTTTACTCTGCAGTGCTGGTGCTGGAGGCCTCCCCGGGGGGTGTCCTTACGTGGGCGGCTCAGAGTATGTCAGGAGAGGGCCCAACTGGGCGCAGCACTGGGGTTGTGGGAGACTGGGGCGGCCAGGAGGTGGCTGATGGAGAAGCTGTGGTCATCCCATGGGTGCGGCAGATGGGGACGGGCAGTGGCCTTGCTGCTGAGGAGAGCAGGTGTAAGGCCAGCCCCGGATGCCGATTCCAGGAGAGACACCCAGACACCTGATTTCCTAGCTCTGTCCCCCTGGGGGTGAGCGCTGTTGCCGTCCCTCGTAGAGCTGAGGAGGGAGGCAGAGGGTCCCGCTGTGAGGGCGTGGCAGGGTCACGGTCCATGCCGGGGTGTCTTGGTTGGGCTCCCTCAGAGCTGGGCAGGGCAGGCCGAGAGGAGGACCGTGCCCCCGAGAGCCGAGGTCACGCTACGCTTGTCTGCCCCTCACTGTTCACCTTTCTGCGTGAGAAGTGCCCCATGGCCATCACGTGATGTGCTACCTCACTGGGCACCGGTGCCCGTGTACTCACCCTCGGCTTGCTCTCGCACCCAGGAAGGTGGCAAGCCCTGGAATAGTTCGGAAGGGCCTGGCCCAGAACTGTGCGTCCCCCGTGGCTGGTAACAGTCGCCTGATACACAAAGTAAAGGAGCACACTGGGTGGCGGGTTGGTGTGGATGACTCAGGACGGGTTTGTGAGGGGCCAGCCGCAGGGCGTGTCATCTGGGGGTGGGGCACAGTGACCTCTGGGCCGACAGTTGGTGTGTGGTGTCCACTTCTGACACTGCACTCACCGGGAATTTTCAGAATCTAAGTGTCTGTGTTGTCTAAGGCGTTTGAAGGAAAGTGTCCTGTCCATGTTGTGTGGGTGTCCTCGAGGGTCGTGCCTGACTGTCCTCCCTGCTTCCTTGTCCCCTCGCAGAGCGTGCTCGGGTCTGTCTCAGGTATGCGCAGGACACAGCCTTGGAGGTGGAGACGGAGGTGGCAGCCAGAGTCTTGAGTTTGGAAACCGAGCACAAGGTTAAACTCTCACTTCTTCAAACAGAGCTCAAGGAAGAAATTGACCTCTTAAAAATAGAAAATAGAAATTTGCAGGAGAAGTTGCAGTATGAAACTCGCCTGAAAGAGGACTTGGAGAAAGTAAGTTGTGACTCCTCAGAGCGAGGCGCTCCTGCCCACTTCCATGTGCGGCTCATGGGCCTCCTGTGAACAGGCGGCCTGTGCCAGCCGGGTGGTTAGGATGTCGGTCCACACAGTCCTTGAGCTCCATCCGTCCCACCACCAGGAGCAGTGTTTGGTTAGTGCCTTCCTCAGTCGGGAAAGGATTCCACTCTGAGCCGAGGCCAGAGTTTTGACTCCTTGTTCTTGCTCTTTCCACCTGCCTCCAGGGGTAGGGGAACTGGCCGGGCATCCTCAGAGGGGCTCCAGGAAGAGGCTTGAGCCGGGGGGTTGGCGCATGGCCACCTGCAGGCCTTGTCCACCTCAGTGTCTCCAGTGGCGTCCCGAACCCCCGGGCTCTTCCTGCTGACTGTTGGTCATGCAGCCACAGAGAGCGCACAGCGCGAGTGCACGCTGAGAAATACGTTATAGCACATAAACCTTCACTAAGTTATTCATGAGCTTCATTATACAGCAGTGCAGGCAGGGCATGGATTTATCACTATGTTGGAATAATAGAATTAAAGTGACTATAATTCTTTTGATTTTTTTCATGTGTTCTAAGCTGTATTCCCTCCACTTGGTGCTTGTGCCCGATCTTCTCACCCATGTTCTTCCTTGTGAGGGTCTTCTTGGATTTTCACTCTCCATCAAAACAAAGTTTCATAGGAAGCTGTTGTTACCTGCAAGTTTGATCACACGTTATTCCCAAAACTAAGGCATTGTGAGAACTTGGAGCAAAGTAGAGTGAAGGAAGGAGCTTTGTGGAGGCTGCGAGGGCTGGCCATGTCGGGGCTGCCATGGGGGCTGCAGTGCGTTTGCTGGTGGTCTGCCTGCTGTGTCAGCACTAGCCTCAGGCACTGCTTATCGAAGGACAGACTTGATGTTCAGGTGTGTGTATATGTGGTTCCTGGACCACCGTTTTATCAACCTATATCAATTATTGAGAGAGGGGTGTGGAACTGTTTCTCTCTCCCTTTAGTTCTGTCAATTTGTTTTTTTTTTGTGTGAGGAAGATTGTCCCTGAGCTAACATCCGTGCCCATCTTCCTCTACTTTGTATGTGGGACACCACCGCAGCATGGCTTGACAAGTGGTGTGTCGGTCTGCGCCCAGGATCTGAACCTGTGAACCCCGGGCTGCCGAAGCGGAACACACGAACTTCGCCACCCTAGTTCTGTCAATTTTTACTCTAAGTATTTTGAAGCTCTGTTGTTTCACACATACACATTTATGATTGTTATGTCTTCCTGAAAAACGTACTCTTTCATCATTCATGAAATATCCCTTTTCTCTCCTGTAGTGTCTTTGTATTGAAATCTACTTTCTTGTGTATGACTGTAGTCATTCTAGCCTTTCTTTGCGCTTTGTTTGCAAGGGGTACCTTGTTCCTGTCCATTTTACTTTTGATCTGTTGAGAGTAGCTGCCCGGAGCTCGTGTCAGACCCTGCAGGTTAAGGGCTCAGCCTCGTGAGACTGCACCGCTTCTGTCTGACGTGGCTACAAAGTCAGAACGTTCCATGCTCCCCAGGTTTAATCATTTGCTAGAATGGCTCACAGAACTCTGGGAGATAGTTTACTTCCATTTATCAGTTTGTTGTAAAGGCTGTAAACAGGAACAGCCAAATGGAAGAGATGCACAGGGCAGGGTGTGGGGGCACGCAGCTTCTGCGCCCTCTTTGTGCATGCTGCTGTCCCAGCACCTCTAGGTATTCACCAACTTGGAAGCTCTCCGAACCCCATCATTGAGGGTTTTTGTGGAGGTTCCGTTACGTTGGCATGATTGAATAAATCATCGGCCATTAGTGACTGAACTCAATCTTCAGCCCCTTTCCCTACCCTGGAGGTTGGGGGTGGGCTAGAAGGTCCAACGCTCTGCTCAGGTGGTGGTCTTTCTGGGGACCAGCTCCTGCCTGAAGCTGTCTAGTCATCTCATTAGCATACAAGAGACCCTCTTATCACTCCAGAGACTTCAACGGTTTTAGCAGCTGTGTGCCAGGAACTGGGAACAAGACCAAACATTTATTTTTTTATTATGTTACACATATGGACAGCATATAGTTGGGTACTTCTTTTTAATCCATTCTGACAAACTCTACCTTTTAATTGGAGTGCCTAGTCTGTTAACATTTTGTGTCATAATTGATATGGTTGGACTTAGGTCTGCCATTTTACTATTAGTTTTCTACGTGTTTCATCTGTTTTTCTTGGTTTTTTTTCTTTTTTTTGTTCCTCTGTTCCTTCTTTCTTGCCTTTTTGATTATTTGAATATTTTTTAGAATTGATTTTAATGTTTCTCGACTTCTAAGTTATACTCTTTGCATTATGCTTTTAATAGCTGTTCTGGGGGCTAGAATATAGATTCTTTTCACAGTCTGCTTAGGGCTAATGTTGTGGCATTTCATGTGAGCTTTAAGAGTCCTATGATGGTGTGGGTGCGTTTGTCATCTCCTCTTTGTCTTTTATGCTCTAATTTTCATGTGTATTACATCTCCTGTTGTAAACTCTACAATATGATAAGTTTTGCTCTGAACAGTCGTATGTACTTGAAAGAAATTAAGAGGAAAAACAGTCTTACATTTACCATTCACAGTGCTCTTCATTTCTTCCGGGAGATCTGAGTTTACATCTGGTGTCACTTCCCTTCAGCCTGAAGAATTTCCTTTATTTAGCATTTCTTGTTTTGCAGATCTGCTGTACAAGTTTTCTTTTAGCTGAAAAGTCTTTATTTCACCATCATTCTTTTTTTTTTTGTGAGGAACATCAGCCCTGAGCTAACATCCATGCTAATCCTCCTCTTTTTGCTGAGGAAGATTGGCTCTGAGCTAACATCTATTGCCAATCCTCCTCTTTTTTTTTTCCCCAAAGCCCCAGTAGATAGTTGTATGTCACAGTTGCATATCCTTCTAGTTGTTGTATGTGGGACGCGGCCTCAGCATGGCTGGAGGAGCGGTATGTCGGTGTGTGCCTGGGATCCGAACCCCGGCCGCCAGTAGCCAAGCGCGCGCACTTAACCGCCAAGCCATGGGGCCGGCCCAACCATCATTCTTTTTTTTTTTTTTTAATTTTATTTATTTATTTTTCCCCCAAAGTCCCAGTAGATAGCTGTACGTCATAGCTGCACATCCTTCTAGTTGCTGTATGTGGGACTCGGCCTCAGGATGGACGGAGAAGTGGTGCCTCGGTGCGCGCCCGGGATCCGAACACGGGCCACCAGCATCAGAGCACGCGCACTTAACCGCTAAGCCACGGGGCCGGCCCTCAACCATCGTTCTTGAAGAATATTTTTGGTACATGTAGAAGTCTGGGGTGACAGTTGTTGTTCAGGATTTAGAGATATTGTTCCTTCTAACCTCCTTGTTTCTGATGAGAAGTCAGTGATCATTCAGTCTGTATTTCCCTGAGTGTAATGTGTCATTTTCTTTTGGCTCCTTCAAAGATTTTTCTCTTGATCTTTGGTTTGCAGTCATTTTGCTATGATATGCTAGGTGTGATTTTCTTTGACATTTTTTCTCATGAAATTCTTAAAAATTAGTACATAAAATTGTGAATATTTGAGAAAAGGAAACAGGGATCCTAAGAAACATAGTTAACTAAAAAACAAAAATTTAGAGCTGGCCTGGTGGCATAGTGGTTAAGTTCATGCACTCTGCTTTGGCTGGCTGGGGTTCGCAGGTTTGGATCCTGGGCACGGACCTATGCACTGCTCGTCAAGCCAGCCTGTGGTGGCGTCCCACATACGAAATAGAGGAGATGGGCAGAGATGCTAGCTTAGGGTCAGTCTTCCTCATAAAAAAAAATTTATACTAGATCTTATCTTTTCTTATTTATTAATGGTATTATTGAAATGGTGGTCTGTTTTAATAACTTAAAAAACATTCTCTACATTTATGTCTTTCACCAAATTTGGGAAATTTTCATTAAGTATTTTCTTCAGTTTTTTCTTTCTGCCTCATTCTTTCCTTGCTTTTTGGAATTCTATTTACATGGATGTTATATCTTTTGATTCCTGAAGTTTTGTTCATTTTATTGTTTCTAATCTTTTTCCCTTCCTGTTGGTTAAATTCTTTTGATCTTCAAGTTTACTGACTCTTTTCTTTTGTCATCTCTAATCTGCTTTTAATTCCATCCAGTGAATTTTTAAATTTCAGATATTGTGTTTTTCAATTCTACAATTTTGATTTGGTTCTTGTTAATAGTTTCTATATTTTTGCTGGGATTTTCTATCCTTTCATTCATTATGAGCATGGTTCCCTTTATGTCCATAAATGTAGTTGTGATAGCTGCTTTAAAATGTTTGTGTCACCTTGGGGTTGTTCTCCATTGGTTGTGTTTTCTCTTTAGTGTGGGTCATATTTCCTGTTTATTTGTATATCAACTAATTTTGGATTGTATCCTGGACATTGTGAACGACACATTGTGGAGACTCTGGATGCTGTTATGTTCCTCTGAAGAGTATTGATTCTTTGTTTCAGCGGGCAGTTAACTAGGCTGGATTCAGATTCTGCGCTCCGTCTTCTTTGTGTTGGGCTGCAGTGTAATGTTCAGTTCTTTTAGCCTTAGCTGGCCTGCCCTTGGAGTCTGCCCACACATGTATGGATGAGGGATCAGCCTGAGGTTTTGGCTAGGTTTGTTCACAGATTTTGCAGCTTTCGCTCCCTGCTTCTGTCCCAATGGGATTTCCCCTTTCACTTTCCAGCTTCTCTGTTCAAAAAAGTGAGATTATGGGATTTCTGTGTGCATGGCACAGACAGATAAATCACTTAGTGCCATTTTTTCTTCTGGGTGTCAAACCCCTCTCCATGATCTGCCTGCTTTTGGATGCTCTCCTGGGCCTTCATGTAGTTTCTTATATTTTTATCCAGAATTTATAACTGTTATCTCTAGGAGGGTTGGTCTGATTAGAGCTTCTCAGGCGTCACCAGAAGCAGGGCCTAAACTTTATTTTTAATAACTTAGTTTTTCAATGAAGAGTTGAGGTCAATCTTACATACCTTTTTTGGTTTTGTTTTTTTTGATGATGTTCAGTACTTGATTGACCTACTTTCTTTCCTTTATGAAAATCAGGATATTTCCTTGCGTTCAGCTTTCTGATTCATCTCCCTTTTCATAAGGTACCTTTAAAAGTGTTAATTTTAGCTCACCAGCCTCTTGCTCAAGTTCCTTGTATATCCTGGAATATAAATTGTGCAAGCCCAGAGACATGAACTCATTACACTGCTTGCTGTTCTTGCTCAGACTTCTAATCTCCTTGCTGATGGTGGTTCCGCTCTGTCTGGGGCAGTTGGCCTGTCCCTTGACAGAAGACCCATGACGTGTCTGATTTTCCCCTGTTGCCGGTCCTGGCACAACAAAGGCCTCCAGCCCCACCTTTGTGTGCTGTATTCCTGTGTGTATGTGTTCAGTTCAGGTGGTTTTGGGGCCAGCTCCAGAGATAAGGAACAGTTGGTTCTAGGTGCCAGGATGTGGACACATTTTACTTAAGCAGAGAGTTATAAATTTGTTCATTTTAGGTTCCTTGTATTCCCATCAACATAAGAAACATTCCTATTGCTCTGATCAGCATAATGCCTGTATGTTGTGGAAGTTTCGCTGTCTTTAGAGGTGGATTTGGGTCATTGCTGCCAGTAATCTTTTCATTGAATTTTTTCCTTCTTAATCAAAACTATGTTATCTGTAGGTAAAGCATAATTTAGTTGAAGATCACCAGGAAGAACTGAAGAAAGCTAAGGAGAAGATTCAGCTAATGCAACAAGAATTCAAAGAAAGAGAAGCAGAGTGGAAAGTTACAAATGAGGACCTAAAGAGAAAAGCTGAAGAGAAGTTAACACTGATGCTCCTTGACCTGAGAGAACAGGCGGAGTCTGAGAAGCGGTCACTAATAAACAAGTTTGAGCTTCGAGAAATCACAATGAGACAACTTCAGGACCAGCAGGCGGCCCAGATCCTGGGCCTGGAGGGGTCCCTGATGGAGCAGCAGGGCCGCCTGCGGCAGCTGGAGCTCGGGCTTGCAGGGGACGAGTCTCTGCAGTGCAGCCAGTGCGGCCGGGAGCCAGGCGGTGGTCTAGCCCCCACAGACCAGGACCGGGAGCTCGCCACGCTCCGCCTGAAAGAGGACTGTGCCTTCCAGCTAATGTTGGCCCAGAACAGGTGGGTGATGTTCTTGTAGCAGTGTGTTAAGTTGGGAGCCATCTGCCAGGTCCCCATGTGAGACCTGATCCCGAGACACCCAGCAGAGAGCAAGAGGCAGGTTCCCTGGGAAGACGTGCTGTTGTCTCTCAGTAGGGCGAGAAGGTCTGCAGAGAGGTGGAGCAGAGTGTGGGCGTCCTGAGTGCTGGACACTTGGTGTTCAGGACAGAGCTACGGGTCCCGTAACTGAGACGTGCTGGCCAAAACAGCGTCCAGATTCTTCCTTTGGAGTCCTTGTCTCCTTGATGGACACTACTGTGCATGCATGTTTCACATCATTTTTGTTCTTTGCAGAACTTCAAACATCATTTATCACAAGGACATGCAGTTTATCCACACAAGTTTTTTGTGTTTTTTAAACTCAAATAGATATTTAAAAAAAAATTTTTTTTTTTCTAAAATATATACATACTTCCCTAAAGTTTTAAATAGACTTAGGACATGATTTCATCCTTTGCCTCTGTTGGTGCTGACACTTTTTGCAGACTTGGGGCGTAATGGCCAGGGGTGTTTGTGAGTCTTGGGGTCATCAGACCTGCTCTTGGTTCTGCTGCTGCTTGTGTGTCAGCTGCTCCCCAGCATCATGAGGTGCAACAGCTTCTGCAGTGGGGTCTGAGAACTCGAGTTCGCATCCTGGCCCCCACTACATCTGAGCTGGATGGACATGGGCACAATGCTCAACCTCACGAGACCTTAGGGCACTCCCTGTGCAGTAAAGGTTAAATGGGGTAGTTTATGGAAACGCTTTCATGGTATCTGGTGCACAGTTAGCACATAAAAATCATCGCAGCCCGTTATCTGTGTGAACTTACCAAGGCACGTCACCAATGTATCATGTGTGCCTGGTAGAGATGCCAGGCTCTTCCCAGTTCCTAGTGGGATTCTGGGTGCCGTAATTAGAAGTGAGTCTTCCTGCCGGCCTCCGTTTTTGCCAGGCAGCACCACTTATGGCTGTTTTTAATTTATGTCCCTTAATTCACAACTGAAGAGTTTTCTTAGGTCTTTTGAATGCTCTTTGCGGCCCCGTGGGCTCCCGTAAGCCGTGTGCCGCCCCTTCCCTGTTGAGGTCCTTCTCACCGTGAGTGAACAGTCATGCCTGCTTTGCCATGGTGTCTGTCGGAAATGTGTATGTGGTTTCTTGGTGTAGATCCTGTGTCTTTCACTTCAGTCTATGGCCGGGGATGCCTGGGCTCTGGCCTCAGAGCTCCTCTGGCCTCATGTGGCCCCTTTACTCTCCACTTACTTCTGGTGGTGGTGCTCAGACCACATGTGGCGGAGGGAGAAGGAGTCACAATAGTTAAATCCAGGAGTGATAATCTTCCCAGCAGACGTAGTGTTTCCTATAGGAAATGTGAACAGGTATTTCAAAGTGAGGTTGGTGCTTTTATGACTGCATATTTTGCTGTTTGTGTTCACTTTGCATGTCATCCCAGGTTTTTAGAAGAACGTAAAGAAATCACAGAGAAATTCACTGCGGAACAAGATGCCGTCCTGCAGGAGGCCCAAGAGAAGCATGCTAGCGAGCTCCAGCTCCTCCAGGAGAGACACCAGCAGCACGTTCTGTCCTTGACGACGGAGCTCCAGACCAAACACCAGTCTGAGATTGATGAACTGAAGGCTTCATTCGAGAATGAACGGTGGGCTCTTTCAGAAGCTCGTGTAGCTGAATTGCAGACAAAACATGCTGCTGAAATCAGTACTTTGGAGATGAGACATTTGTCAAATCTGGATTCTTTGGAATCTTGTTACCTGTCTGAAATTCAGGCCATACGGGATGAGCATAGGCGGGCCCTAGAGCTGTTGCGAGTCGACCTTGAGGGACAACTGCAGAAAAAGGATTCTTCTCACCAAATGATTTTGGCTCAGGAGTTAGAGAAACTTAAACTGAAACATGCCGAAGAGCTTCAGTCTGCCAAGGACAGCCTGAGAATTGAAATGAGCACTCAACATGTGGAAAGTCGGAAAGCCCTGGCCGCTGAGCTTCAGGGGGCACAGGTGAGGCGTCGGTGTTGCTTTGCTCTTTCTCAGGACAGGTCTCTTCCTTGCCTGTGTGTTTCAGCTGCATGTTTGTGTGTGTCTGTGCAAGTGTGTCTCTGCACGCGTGTGTCTGCATGTCTCCTGCACTGCACTGTCAGTGCTAACTTTGGGTTTCCTCAGGTGGGTGTAGGACAGTGAGTTCTAAGGGTTTTCTTGGAGGCTCTTTGGTGAAGGCTTTGGATCTCTGGTCCTATAAAGATGTGCGTATGTGTGTGTGCACAGAATTCTGTGTACGATTTCGTTGGTTAGAGTGCTGCTCAAGGCTAGCCCCTGATCCCTGTGGTAAGACTTGGTTTCAGGGGCCTTGGCTCCAATTTTCCTGTTGTGCATATGGAGCTTCTGTTCTCCTTGATGGATGCTTCGTGAAAGTAAACCCTTCTGTCGTGTTTCAAGAGCAGTGACTGTCCCTTGGCGCAGGTACTGTAAGTTTTAGTATGAAAGGGAATTTCTGGAGAAGGCCCTGTTGTCCTGGGCTGGCACCTACCTTTCCTCATCTGCAGACCTGCAGCCCCTGTGTCTCAGGAATTTGGATGTGTTTATTTGGCCTAAAACTGTCTTGCCGCGTAGACTGAAGTCGCTGTGGGGTCTCATCTCCTCACAGTGCTTGGGGCTGCTCTGTCCGGTGCGGGCGCAGTGGGCGTGCCAGCCCGGGGGCAGACGGTGTCAGGTGCCGCCACATGCGGGGCGGGATGTGCACCTTTTTCCTAGGGTGGCAGTGGAATGATCTACAGCTGATGATGCAATTAAAAATTGCTATTCTGAAAAATTAGTACTTTGTCAAATATTTAAGAAGTAGATATTCCAAATTACAAAATAGGAAATCTAAGGCTTCTGTGAACACAAATACCAAGTGGAAATTGTTCACTGCCCAATTCAGACAAGCTTGATGAGACGTTCCCCAGAGGGTTTCGTGCTTCACTCCTTGTCAAGCAGCTCCAAAAGTTAGTTTATTGTTAGCCTCCATTCAGCTCTGTGTAAGATAGAAGGGAAAAGGTAACCTTGATTAATAGGTGTGATGGCTTCATTTTATGTTGCAGCTCTGCCTGTTGTGTGTAGTCTGAGGGTGTGCTCTTGAGAGAACTCCTAGAAAGCAGGGCACATTCAGGCTCCCTCTCCTGGTCACGGGCGTGGGCAGAGGGACGGTTGCCCATCGTGAGCCTCTGGTCTGTCCTTGCATTCAGACCTCAGGGCAGGTGTTGGGGCAGTCCCAGCCATAGGCTTCTCCTTTGGAGTGGATAGAGCCGCAGTGTCCTTTTGGTCTGAATTTAGAGAACTGTCTGATGATGCTGGGTGGTGCCCCTAGGCCGGCCGGCCCTCTCCAGCCGCAGGCCCTCAGATGTCAGTTTCAGTTTCCTACTATGCAGCCAGATCTGTAGATTTAAATTAGATTTTCTTGATTTATTTGGTTTGAAGAAAATGAAGTTCTAAAAGAATATTCAAGAGGGAGAAACATGTATATGTTTACATGTGAACACTAAGTGTTTTAAACACTGGCTTACTGTTATTATAGGTGGCAACGTTTGATTGTAGGAAGCCTGTGGAATGTTTATCACCTTGCAGAGAGGTGTGTGTGGGTGGTCAGGGGGCGTGCGGAAGCATGTGGGTGGTGGGATGGAGGCATGTGTGGGTGGTCGGGGAGGCGTGTGGAGGCGTGTGAATGGTGGGATGGAGGCATGTGTGGGTGGTTACACACAGCACATACACAGACACATGCATATCATGTGATTTTGCATACCATCCTCGCAGGCTTGTGCAACTCCAGGAGTCCATCTGAGGACCCTGGCTGGACATCCCGGAGGCCCTTCTGCTTCTGTGCTCTTAGATTTGAAATACTCATATTTCCCATGTCTTCTGGTCTTTCTGGGGGTGAGAGGATGAGAATCTATGTACATAGTGCTTCACTAATAATTGGTATTGTATGTGAAGCATCATGTACAAATTTATTGAGATTATAAATTTTTGTAAGTACTATTTCTATGGGGCTTTTTAAAAAGGACATGCTAATATCTCATTTTTAACCATAAAATAAAGCCCTAGCCTTTGCTCGGGTTTCCCAGGTTGGTTATCAGTGCTCTTAGGGGTGTGTATACATATCAGTTGATTTCTGAAATTAGTATTTAAACTGTTTTTTCACATGAAAGTTCCCAGAATGAGAATTAGAGGAGATTACAAAAATAAATGGAAACATAAAAACGAGCTTTATCCTCCTTTGTTTGGTTGAAAAGTCTGGCAGTTGGCATTTTTCTTGAGATTTGTTCTTTGGACTCTAAGTTGCCCTGAATCTGGCCGCTCTGAGTGAGTTTCCCATGTTTGAATGGATAAGAGGACAAAGGAGGAATCCATACACAGAAAGCTTGCACCCTCAAGATGGCTTAGAGAAACACACATGGCAAGACCCCAGCTAAGAACCAGAAAATACAGCTGGTCGTTGATTACATCACGTAAATACTCTTCTCTTCACAATGACGTCTTACTCAGATTTCATTAAAAGAAGATGAAGCCCCCTCAGTGTCTCTTCAGCCCCCTCAATGTCCCTTCAGCCTCCTAAGTGTCACATCAGCCCCCTTAGTGTCCCTTCAGCCCCCTTAGTGTCCCCTCAGTCCCCTCAGTGTCCCCTCAGCATCCCTTCAGCCCTCGCAATGTCCTTTCAGTTTCCCCTCAGTGTCCCTTCAACCTCCTCAGTGTCACCTCAGCCCCTTAGTGTCCCCTTAATGTCCCCTTGATATCGAACCCGGAGTGAGTTTGCTCACCTGTCATACAGCAAGCCAGTCTGTGACACTGGGTGTAGTGGAAGAAAATAGGAATTTTATTGCAAAGCACTGAGCAAGGAGAACGGGCAGCTAACGCTGTAATCCCAAACTCCCCGAAAAGCTATAAGCAAGGGTTTTTATTTGGGGTTTTATGTAGGGGAGGGGGAGCATGTGGCCTTGGGGGCTGAAGTTCTAAGAGTCCTCCGCACAGGTGTGACTGTGTTCTGTGTGTTGCATGCGGTGGATTTTTAGTCTTTGACATCTAAAGTTTACAGTCAGTCATTTTAGCTTCTCAGTGTTCCTGCAAGATGCTTAGTCAGGCAGCGGGCTGTCAGCAAGTTCCTGTCTTATCAGTGGTCCTCCCGCCTTCTGCAAGGCAAGCTCAAACTGGTTATTTTGTTTCCCACGTTAACTTTGTGGGTACAAAGCACAGTTTCACCCTAATCCAGGGAAATTGTAACTCCTTCATCCTCAGTGTCCACTCAGCCCCCTCAGTGTCCCCCAGCCCCATCATGTTGATGTCCTGAGGGGCCATCACAGAGGGTTCCAGTGGCCGCCAGGAAGACGCTGAGGTGCAGTGGAGGCTATGAGATGGACAAGCAGTCATCCTATCAGCACCTTCCTCATTCACAGTCATCCTTGTGAAAGGCATGTAATGCTGGGTGCTGGCAAGTTCCATGTGCCTGGCCCCCTGGGAGTCCTGTAAGAAGGATTCTTAAGACAGCCCCTCTTGAGTTGGGCACTCTTCCATGTGTCCGAGAGGCTGGAATTTACCTGTGGGGCAGACACCTGTGGCCCTGCTGTGCTGCTGTGGCTTGCAGATTGGGATTTGGTCGGAGCATCTCTGGATGACTTAGTGATCCCTGAGAGTGGACAGCTGTCCCCCTTCTCTCCTGAGATGCTCCCTTGAGACGTGCTGACATGCTGAGGGTGTTTACGTTTCATTCTCTATCTTCTCTGAAAAAATCAGATTCTGTCATTTGCCTTTTCCTAGTACTCACTGACTTACAGCCCTCCCTCTAAAGAAACTCTGTCCAATCACGGATTCATTTCTCCTGCCCATTTTATTTGTTGGTAACAAAAAGAGCCATACGCTTTTTGAAACTGTGTGTCATTTATGTTTTTTGTCTTAGCCTTTTTGTACTTCTGTGTTGACTATTGTCTGAATGCTCCTAGGGCATTTTGGAAGTATTTTTCTAGTTGTGGTACAAGTTTATTCAAGTAAGTTGTCCCTTTACTTTGCTGCTAAGGATGTGAGTGTTAGATACTCTTTAAGTTACCGTTTTTGTCTGACTGATTTCACAGAAAAAAAAATTTGGCTTATGGGAAGGTGGGATATGCTGTTTCTGCCCCTGTTTTATTTTAACTTTTTATTGGAGAAAATTTCAATATATACAGCAGTAGAGAGAATAGTTCAGTAAAACTCCATATCCAGCTACCCGGTGGGGTACTTGCCAATCTTAGTGCTCCCTCCACCCCCTGACTATTTTGAAGCAAATCCCAGACATCATGTGTTTTCATCTATAAATACTTAAGTATCTGTCTCTACCAAGTAAAGTCTTTTTTTCCCCTTAATATATCATAACTGATATATTATCTCCCCATAATCTGTTCTAGCCCAAAAAGTTAACAGTAATTCCCTAATTTCATCACATATCCAGCCCAAGTTCCATTCTCTTTCTGTGGTTGTTCAAATCAGGATCCACACAGGGCCTCATTTGCACTAGACCTGTTTTTATTGCTTCCTGTGATGTTGGTTAACATTTCTCCCTTATTCCTGGTAAACCTGTTGGTAGGTCTGTACCTGTGATCAGATTTAGGTCCCTGTCTTGGTGAGAATACTTCTAGGTGGTGGCTGTTCCTTCTGTGGTCTTCTCTCAGGCTTTACCTTGCAAACAGAACCTTGCTGGGTGTTTCCTGGGATTTCAGGGTCATTGTCCCCAAAATAGCAGGGACATGCTGTTCTTCCTCTGTGAATAGGTTTTATTTGGGCCACAAATATCTTTGCACCTGTTTGAAAAGCAGTGTCACTTATCAGAAGAGTTATTTAACATGCGTTTGTGAGGTGATTGGATTACTTTCCAGGTTACCGCCCTTTGGAGTTTGGTTGTGAGAAAAGTTCTCTGAAAACGTAAGCTTGATTTCTTTTTCTTAGAGATATGCTTCCCACGTTGGTAACATCCTTATCCTTATCCTCGTGTTGGTAAC